TGGATCAAACACATTCTTTCTTCATCTAAAGCAGCTATTCTGGTCAATGGATCCCCAACAAAATTTTTTTTTCTTGTTATAGAGGTCTCAGACAAGGAGACCCACTTTCTCCTATGCTTTTTCTCCTAGTTGTTGACGTCCTCAATAGAATGCTTACAACTAGTGTAGCATCGGGAGACTTATCAGATCTTCATCTTAAGGGAGAGTTAAACACTATCAGATCCCTTCAATTTGCAGATAACACAATCATCTTCTCCAAGGCTGCTTCTTCAGACATGATCACACTTTAGGCCATCCTTCTCATCTTTGCTAATGTCTCAGGTCTCAAGGTTAACAATTTCAAAACAAATCTCTTCTATCTTGGTAGATTTCCTCACAAAGGTCAATCTCTTGCTAGAAGTCTTAACTGTTCAGTTGGATCTCTTCCTTTTTCATATTTAGGGTTGCCACTCAAAAAAGGGTCCCTTACAAGAAGGGAATGGCAACCTTTGTTAGATTCCTTCTCCAAAAAACTGTCTCTTTGGAAGCAAAAATCCTTGTCGATTGGGGGGTGTTTAACTTTGATCAATTCTGTTCTGTCATCCCTACCTCTCTATTTCATGTCCTTCTTTAAACTCCCATCATGGCTCATTAAAGCTATTGACAAAATTAGAAGGAATTTTCTTTGGAATGACAGTTCAACATCAACCAAACCCAAATGTCTTGTCGCCTGGGACACAGTGTGTAAGGCTAAGCAAGAAGGGGCCTTAGGAGTCATCAATCTAGCAAATTTCAATTCTGCCCTTCTTTCTAAATGGATTTGGAAAATCTTTGACAGAAACAATATCATCAGCCAATTGTTCTTCTCTTTGTATTCTAAGGATGGGTCTAACCCTGTCATTTGTTATCCAAAATATTCGGCTTCCAAATTCCTTAAAGATCTGTTCTCCATTCACGCTAATTTCTTTAGTTTTGTTAGATGGAAAATAGGAGATGGCAGGTCTTGTAGATTCTGGATTGACAAGTGGTCATGTGCCAACTCTCTCAGAAGTTTGTTCCCCAAAGCTTTCAACTTAGCCTTCTCCCCCACTTGTTTTACTCACTCCCAAGGGCTCAGGGGTGTTAATGGCTGGAACTGACATCTCATTCTTAGAAGAGGTGCCACATTAGAAGAGAAAACAAATATTGCTAAACTGAGATCCCTCCTGGATACAATGTCCAATGTTGATAGTAACTCTTCTGACAACCTTTGGTGGCCTCTCCACCCTTCGGGTATTTTTTCAGTTAAGTCCTTTTACTCTGTTGTGAACTCAGGGGGTGTGAAATCACCCTTATTCAAATTAATTTGGAAATCCCCTATTCTGACTAAGGTTAAGATCTTCTTCTGGCTAGTCAGTAAGAATAAACTTAACACCAAGGCTAATCTGATAATTAAAGGATGGATTGGAGACCCCCGATGTCCGTTTTTCTATCAGGAAGTTGAGAGTCAATATCATTTATTTATTCAATGTTATTTTGCAAGAGATGTTTGGTCCCTGCTTTTCCCCTATACCAGTGCAGATCTCTGGCCTCCCCACATGGATGAACTCATCAACATAAGCAAGAGTCCCCTGATTAGCTCAGACATCAAATTAGTATGGAAAGTTGCATTACCTTGTTGTTGCTGGTGGCTTTGGAACTGTCGAAATAATTTAATTTTCAGAGATATAATTCCGACTCCAGAAAATATTGCATCTAACACAGCTAGGTATATTCTTCTATGGACAGGGGCTGAAGAAGATAGAATGACAAAAAGAATCCATAGGGCAGCTATCAAGCTGAAGTTCCAGGAAATAGCGAAGAAGAGAAATGAAGATGTTGCTGGTGACAATTTCTAGGGAGTCTTCGGAGTCTCCCCTCCAGAAGTTTAATTTTCTGTTCTCCTCTCATTACATGGGGTTTTCGAGAGGTAGTTTTTGAGGGCTAGTTTTTTTTTGTTCTATTCTTCCTAAAACTCTGTTTTGGTCTTTCTTACTTTTGATCATATTTTGTAAATCAGTAGTTTTTTCTTTTTCATTAGTGAGGGGAGATACGTTGGACACTTGTTCTGATAGGTGACGACAAGGTCCGCTCCCTATCGTTCAATTGTCCTACGTTTTTCTTTCTCACTATGTTGTCCCTTTTTTGTAATTATCATGGTTTGGTATTACTATATATAAAATGAACAGGGAATCTCTCCCTGTTTTTTTCTGTCAAAAAAAATGTTTATAGATTTTAACTCAAAATGAATCTGACTTATTTTATAGTAAGAAAATAAAATAAAAATATTTTTGATATTTAACCACGTGCATTGCACGTGCACAAGAACATAGTCAACTTAAAGAAGAAAGTTAAGAATTGCTCCATCTCAAAATAAGAAAATGAAACTTTAAAAATGAATATACTTTAGGATATTTATGTCAACTAACCTTCTTAACCCTTTCTTATTTGTCAAATACAAAAAACTTAACCGTTCATATTGATTATCAAATCTAAACAAAATTATTTTATTTTAACCCGTCTTTCCCCTGAACTCTTCTCCTTGAACCTTTTACCAAATAGGACCAAAAGTTCTTTCTCAGAGTGTACTGAATAAAAAAGTTCAGGGGACTAATGACCTCTCCCCAAAAATTCATGGAGGTTTTTTTGAAAATCCTAAGTAGTGCTAAATATGTAGTTTCCCAAAAATACCAAATAAGATACTAACACAATACATGATTGGAACAAAATTGCTTTAGATAAAAATAAAACCTCAACTATTGGATTGTTAGTTAGATAACAACAAAAATAAAGAACCAGTGTTGGACGGTATAGGCTTATATACATCTTCATAGTCTTTAAAAAAAAGAAGTTATACGTCGAGATATTTGCATTTAGGAAGTAGGACCCTCGGTAAAGTGACTCTTTCAAAATCTGACGATCGGGTCCACCAAATGTAGGTTAATTTTAAAAAGAACATTTGATTGGTTAAAAAATCCTACGCTAATGGCCCGTTTGAATAATAGAAGTATTGGAAGTAAGAAGTAAGTTGCGGAAGTAACTTCCAAATCTATGAAATAGGAAGTAGCGGAAATAGCATTTTTTTTGTTTGTTTCATATATTTTTAGAAGTAATAGAAGTAGAACTTCTTCCTCTTCATTTACTTTTTTTGTTTGGATAATATTTGGAAATATTACTATGAAGTAATTAATACATGTTGCTTCCATTTTATTCTTGTTTGGATTGTCATTGAAATAGAAATAGAAGTATTATAACACACAGTATTCTTGCTGCAATGATATTGAAACATAATTGATTGTTTGCTGCCGCAATTGTCGGAGACTCGCAGTACAATTTTGCTACTATATATGGCAAAATTTGATAATGAAATATGATTTTTCTAACGGGTGCCTATAGACACTTACTAGAGGATGATTATCTATCAGATTTTGCAAGCTTTATACTTTCTTTTAAAGCATCACATATATTTCTACTATACATGTATCATACTGTTTTTTTCTTATTATTGTCTTTATTTCTAATTTATGAATTTTCATTAAAAACAATATTTCCAATTTATGAAGGGAAAAAAAATCTTTTATATATGTCACATGTTCAACAGAAAAGTATGTGGTTCATCAATTTCAATAACAATATTTTTTATATCTACGAAAGCAAAAAATGCATGAACGGCATTCATCAATTTTAATAATAATATTTTTTATATCTACGAAAGCAAAAAATGCATGAACGGCATCACTGTCATAATTTTTTAAAATATTTATAAAAAAGATTTTATGATTACATATCAACTTCCGCCGTAATTATGATTTTTGAGAATCTTTTTTCTTTCGTGGACCCCACCCTACATCAACTTCCGCCGTGTTTCAGTGCATTTGAAGACGGAAAAATATCAAGGAAATAGAGGTGCCACGTAGACGCCACGTCAGCTTTCAACGAAGTAGCGGAAGTAGTTTTTACAAAGAAACAAACATACATTTTTGCCAAGAAGTAGCAGAAGTAGCCTCTACTTCCTCTACTTCTGCTATTTCATAGTTACTTCTGTACAAACAAACGGGCCCTAAGTAGAAGATGGAAGGCATGTTAAATCGTTCGATTTTTTGGTATAGTTATGATATTTCTCTGCCTACCATTGGTTTTTCAACTGTTCGCATCAACCAATCATGATTTTATTTTGAATAAAATTACAACCAAAAAAAAAATCACAAGGTACTACTATGGTGACTAGGGGTGCTAAACTGTATCCGTATCCGAGGAAATATTCATAACTGTATTCGTTAGGATACAGATATGATTACTCAAATCTATAACCGATAGAATATGGTTACTGATATGGTTTTGTAGTGAAATATCCGTATATGTATCCGAGATATCCGAATACATATTGGTCATACTCTTACGATAGTTTCAATTCTTAGATTATGGATTTGTGGTTAATTTTGATGATCAAGATGTCTAATCTTAGCTTTTCAATCATAATGAACATATTAATGAACTCTTTTGTATCACATGACTATATTTTTCTAAATACTATCTAGTTTTCTCATATCCTTTTTGTATCCGGGTACATATCCGTTTATATATCCGCATTTATATCCGTAACTGTATCCAATTTTGGCAGATATGGATATAAATTTTTCTTACCGATGTATATCTGTATCTGTATCCGTATCTGAGATGGGTAAGCGGATATGGATATGGTAAGTGTCATATCCGAGTCGTATCCGCTCCTTTAACACCCCTAGTGGTGACCCTATAAATTAAGCAAATAACTTTGAAGCTATTTCTACCCTTTTCAACAAAAATAATATATGGGAAAAGCGATTGAAATTGCCCCGGTATTCAATGGTCAAGAGAGCAACTCCAACCTCCTCTTTCGGAGGTCACAATCCCACCTAACAAACTCAAAACTCTATTCACCAAGATAAAAATAAATAAATAAAATAAAATAAAATTACCATATCAAGGAAAAAAAAATATAAACAAAACAAATGGCTAAGAAAATGAACACAAGCGCAAGAACTTTCTTCTCCTACCCTTCGTTCCCCTCCTCGCCGACAGCCGGTGGGGCCATTGGCCTTATGAATGACGAGGAGGCGACCGGGGGCCGCTCTTCTAGAGGCCTCGCCAGAATCTGACGTGGCAAGAATGCTTGGCTCCCAAAGTGGTGGATTCTTAGAAGAATTTCTTATAATTTCAGGATTAATAGCGGTGCAAGTAACTAGTGCCATTTATATGGTGATGTTAACTCCAATTCTTGCAAGCGGAGTCAGGCCTCTATTTCTCATTATTTTTGCTTGTATGGCCACTTGCATCTTTGTGTTGCCATTTGCGATTGCAATTGAAAGGTAAGTTGAATATGATTAAATGATTGGAAGAATTGGAGACTCTCTGATTATCACCTAATTAGAGAGGATCTAAATCCCATTATTACTGAGCTTTCTTGTTATCTTTTAGCATAATTATTTGTGTCCTTGAGCTTGTTCACAATTTTTTATTTGTAGGAAGAAATGGCCATCAAAATTGAGTATCAAATTGGTGGCTCAAATTCTGTTGATAGCGCTATCAGGGTAAGTGAATTCATTCTTCGACTTAAACAATTAATTTTGTAAGTTTCTTCATATTGATTGAGAATAATAAATTTTTTTTTCTTTAGCAATGATCTTAATTCAATCTTGAGGCTTAAACGTCACATATTCTTGCTCATAATCTACCTTTATCAAGGCGTCAAAAGTTAATATTATTGAACTACGCATCGCTATTTTGTGTCTCCCTTCTTCTCTTTTTCTAAGTTTAGTTTATTTTCATCAATTATTTGACACTGCAAATACATATTATGTGTATCATGGCGCAATTTATTCATATTGCAATTGATGTATATGAAGAATAAAAAAAAAGTTATTTCATTGAGTTACAATTATCGAAATCAGGTTAGAAACTTGCACATCCCGTCAAGTTATATTAGAGAAAAATGCATACAAGTTTACAACTCATTTTACAAATTGGGTTGTCCACTAATGTTAATAGTTTTTAGATCCACCCTAGTTTTCGCTGTTAGAATATAAATAGATAATCCTCATTTCTTACCATAACTTTACCGTTTTAGTATAATGTTTAGGAAATTTAAGAGGTTATTAGAGTAACTTAGGCTCGTATTGTTGCGCGCAGCGGAAATTTCGGCAGCACTTCGGCAGCACAACAAGAGAGTCGGGTCGCAATAAGAATTCTTGTTTCTCAAAGGGAACAAGAATCTGAAGCCTAATATCCCATCAAAGTGGGATATTTGCTCTTCCTCTCGTCAGCTCTAAGACTGCGCGTCGAGGGAACCTAAAAAGCTATTACAAATCACACAAAAACGATACAACCAATTTTTACGTGGTTCGGCAAATTGCCTACGTCCATGGGGCAAGGAGGGGGGAGATCTACTAATAGAGGGAGAGAACACAACTAGGGTTTACAATCACTCAATCTAAACCCTCACACAAACTCTCAAACCTCTCACACAATTATCTCTCTCAACAAAGGATGCACAAAACCCTAAAAAAAATCTCTGCTTTTCTCCTGCTGTGATTTTATGCCGCAGCCTCAAAGAAAAAAAAAATCCAGCCGAAAAATTTCCTGCACATCCGTTGCCTTTCCCCTTTTCGTACTTGCTACCAACCCTAGGAAGGATTGAAGAGATATATATACTTGATGTAATCGGGTGGGCCTTGGGTTGTTCGTTTTCATAGAAACGAATTCTCATGCAGTCCTTTTATTCACGTGGTGTGGTGGGCCCCTCCCTCACGTTCACAATTCTCCACATCGGTGAAGTTTTCCTAAAACTGAGCCGACACCAAAGCAATCAAATGTCCCACTTGTTGTGACCAGTACGAACGCAATCCACAATAAGTCGAGAACCCGAACGATAGTCCAAACAATCTCACCCCCATCAACTAATCCAAACCGGCTGCATCTCAAAGACTGCCTACGTATCCTCTTCCCCAAGGAATCAAGCCGAACGTAGTTCACCCAAATGGCCGCCAACGGCCTCAACAATCACGAATGTGCAACAAGTTTCGACAATGATCAAACTTGTTGCTCGGAACCACCTTAGTGAGCATATCTGCCGGATTATCCTTCGTGTGGACTTTCACAATCTCCACATCACCATCTTCAAGAACATCCCGAACGAAGTGATAACGAACGTCAATGTGCTTCGTCCGCGTATGAAAAACCTGATTCTTCGCCAAATAGATAGCACTCATGCTATCACAATGAATAGTGACGGACCTCTGCGATATACCAAGTTCCTCCAAAAGTCCTCGAAGCCAAATAGCCTCCTTCACAGCCTCCGTAACTGTCATATACTCTGCCTCCGTCGTAGACAAAGCCACCGTCGACTGTAAGGTGCATCTCCAACACACCGGCGCACGGGTCAAAGTGAACACATACCCCGTCGTAGACCGGCGCTTATCCAAATCCCCGGCATAATCCGAATCAACATAGCCAATGCATAGCTGCCCATCTGTAGTGTCCCGCTCATAAACTAAACCAACATTGAGTGTACCTCGAATGTACCTCAAAATCCATCTCACGACGTCCCAATGACCCACTCCTGGATCGTGCATGTATCTCGATACCATGCTTACCGCCTGTGACAAATCTGGCCTCGTACATACCATCGCGTACATCAAGCTCCCAACCACGCTCGCATATGGAGTCTTCGACATCAACTCACGATCTTCAACTGACTTTGGTGAAATACCAGCTGAAAGCTTCAAATGGGCTTCCAATGGTATACTAACTGGCTTTGTATCCATGCTAACATAGAATCGCTGTAGAACCTTCTTCAAATAAGCCACCTGTGTCAAACAAATTCTGCCCTTCTTCTTGTCTCTGCCGATCTCCATCCCTAGAATGCGCTTCGCCTCACCCAAGTCTTTCATCTCAAACTCATTTGAAAGCTGAACTTTCAACTCATCTATAGCCGACCTAGAAATAGAGGCAACCAACATGTCATCGATTGCGAAAATATACGCAAGGATCAAACTGGCTCCGAGTGTACGAATGACCAATCATAAAACCATCAAATCGCCTATACCACTGTCGAGGAGACTGCTTCAAACCGTATAGCGATTTCTTCAGTCTGCAAACCAATTTTTCCTTCCCTGCAGCTCGGAATCCCAATGGCTGAGTCATATATATTTCTTCATTAAGATCACCATGAAGAAATGTCGTTTTCACATCCAACTGATTTAATTCCAAACCATACTGTGCCACCAAAGCTAGCAAAATCCGAATCGAATAATGCTTCACCACCGGAGAGAAAACCTCATTATAGTCAATACCTTCCTCCTGTGCATAGCCCTTCGCAACCAACCTAGCCTTGAACTTCAATGGAGTGCCCTCAATCTTCGTGTATACCCACTTGCAACCAATTGCCTTCCGCCCCTTTGGAAGCTCAACAAGCTCCCATGTATCGTTCTTATGAAGAGATTTCATCTCCTCCTGCATAGCCACCTGCCACGAATCAGCTTCCGAACTCTGCTCGGCCTCTCTGAAAGTAGTAGGTACTAACTTATCGATACTCTCCACCGGAAGTGCATACGCAACTGTGTCGGCATACCATGCTAGCATCTGTATATTTCTCCTCTGTCTCCGAACCGCAATTAAATCCTGAACCTGAGCCGTCGGTTCCTGATCCTGCACATTTGTACTTGTATCCTCCGTGTCACCGTCGTGCTCGCCTGGTGTCACCTCAGTCGGCACCTGCATGGATACTGTACCATCTGGACAATGTGGAGCTGCATCGATCTCCACCACCTACGATATCTCCTCCGTCGGGTTGCTCTTCACCTGATGAGAGCTGGGAAGCTTCAAGATAGAAGCCTCATCGAATGTGACATCCGTACTCAGCACAATCTTCTTATCCACTGGATCCCAAAGCTTGTATCCCTTGACACCACGCTTGAATCCCACAAATATGGCCTTCCTAGCTCGAGGTTCCAATTTATCAGTTCTAACATGATAATATGCAGGGCACCCGAATACCTTGAGCTGGTCATAATCATGTGCTGGCTTTCCTGACCACATCTCCATAGGGGTCTTCCCCTCAATCGCAGATGAAGGCAGCCTATTAATGAGGTGGCTCGCATATGTAAGTGCCTCAGCCCAAAAGATCTTCTCCAAACCACTCTGCGACAATAAGAATCGGATCTTCTCCAGTAAAGACCGATTCAACCTCTCTGCCATCCCATTTTGCTGCGGTGTATGACTAACCGTGAAGTGTCTCTCTATGCCCTCGTCTCGACATAGCTGCTGAAAGGGGTCAGAAGTATACTCACCACCGTTATCGGATCGCAACGTCTTGATCTTTCTCCCAGTCTGCAGTTCCAATCTCTTCTTCCACTCCACAAACAAATCTAGGACTTCACTCTTCTTCGTCATGGTGTACACCCAACAACGCCTAGAATAGTCATCTACAAAAGTGACGAACCAATGTCTACCACCAAGTGATGCAGTCTTGGTGGGACCCCAAACGTCTGTGTGCACGTAGTCCAGGATGCCCCTCGTCTGATGAATGGCAGTCCCGAACTTCACCTTTGTCTTCTTGCCAAGAACACAGTGCTCACAAAACTCAATCTTCCCACTCTTGGCTCCCTTCAATAGCCCCTGCTTGCACAATGCCTGCAGTGACTTTTCACCTGTGTGCCCCAATCTATAGTGCCAAAGTCTGCTCATGTCCGCTTCTGAAATAGCCGAAGCAACCTGGCCAATCTCGGTGCTTCCCTTCAGATAATACAAATTCCGATTGCGGACTCCCCTCATCACCACCAATGATCCCTTAGTAACCTTCGCTACAGCGTTTTCGAAAGTCACCTTGAATCCCTTCGCCTCCAAAGCTCCAACTGAGATAAGATTTTTCTTCAGTTGAGGAACAAATCTCACCTCCTTCAACTCACGGACTACTCCATCGTGCATCCTAATCCGTACGGTACCTATCCCACAAACGCCACAGGATTGATCATTTCCCATGACAACAACACCCCCGTCGACTTTCTCAAAAGATGCAAACCAGTCTCGCCTAGGGGTCACATGAAAAGTAGCACCGAAATCAAGCATCCAATCTTATGCATCCACATGGTTCACCTCCGGAGTAATCAGTAGAGAAAAGCACGAATCATCGGAATCATCGTCTTTCGCAATATTCACCTCATTGGCCTTCGGGCCCTTTTTCTTGTCATTCTCTTTCTCCTTGAGCTTCGGGCAGTCTCTCTTCCAATGTCCCTGCTCCTTGCAGAATGCACATTGGTTCTTTGTTAATTGGTGGCGGCCTCTAGACTTTGACCTCCCTCTGTTATCACCTTTCGGATATGGGCTTCTACCTCTCGTCGATAAGGCCTCGCCTGAAGTGCTAGCACGGGAAGTCTCCTTGTCCTTCCTCCTCAAATCGTAATTGGTCAATGCGTTAGTCACTTCACTATAGCTGATAGAAGATCTCCCGTTCAACAAAGTGAGCACGAAGGTATCATACTCCTCATCCGGAATCCGATATCTTCTCATCAACATTCGCCAAATCCGACAACAACTTAGTGTAGTTGTTC